AGTTTCTGCTGTTCTCTACCTATGATGCCACAATGGCAGATATTTGGCCTAATACTTTACACATGGATGTCAGATCACAGACTCATTCAAGTTATAGAGGAGAAACCTGAATTCATCTCCCTTCCCACCCCTGGCAATGCAGGGTGATCCCCTTCACCACATCTTTGTCCAGGCTGGTTTTCAATGTCTCTAACAGTACAGTTTCCACTTTTTTTCAGAGATTAATCCCACACTCTATGCATGCCCCATTTATATATATATAAATGGGGCATGCATGGGGCCTGCATGACTTAAATAATACTAATTTAGTATTTGTCATTTCATAGAATTTTAGGCCAAGGGGAACCTTATGACTAGGGTCCTATCAAAGTCAAGGTCCATTTTGGTCAATTTCACGGTCATAGGATTTAAAAAATAATAAATTTCATGATTTCAGCTATTTAAATCTGGAATTTCATGGTGGTGTCATTGTAGGGCTCCTGACCCAAAAAGAAGTTGTAGAGGGGGGTTGGGGGGGGGGTGTTTGCAAGGTTATTGTAGGGGGGAGGTTGCGGTACTACTACCCTTACTTCTGCGCTGTTGCTGGCAGCGGTGCTGCCTTCGGAGCTGGGCCGCTGGAGAGCGGCGGCTGCTGGCCGGGAGCCCAGCTCTGAAGGCAGAGCCGCCGCCAGCAGCAGCTCAGAAGTAAGGATGGCCTGGGATGGCGTTGCCACCCTTACTTCTGCGCTGCTGCCTGCAGAGCTGGGTGGCTGGACGGAGGCGGCTGCTGACTGAGGGCCCAGCTCTGAAGGCAGCAGCGCAGAAGTAAAGATGGCAGGTACGGTATTGCCACCCTTTCTTCTGCGCTGCTGCTGGCGGGGTGCTGCCTTCGGAGCTGGGCGCCCGGCTAACAGCCGCCACTCTCCCTGCCCAGCTCTGAAGTCAGCGCAGAAGTAAGGGTGGCATTACCGTGACCCTCCTAAAATAACCTTGTGACCCCCTCCCCGAGACTCCCTTTTGGGTCAGGACTCCCAATTTGAGAAACGCTGGTCTCCCCCGTGAAACCCGCAACGTTTTTGATATGGGGACATCTGGACATCATCTCATTTCACACTACAGGCTACCAAGCTGCCATCAGAGGGCCACGGTTTTTAGCCAGCCCTTTTTAGTCCTCTAATAAAAATGAAGATAACAAGACTGACGGCTCTCCAGGACACCTACGTGGTTCAGAACCTCCCTCAGCCAATCACATGCCTCCTTCCTTGCAGCCCGTTAGATAAAGAGGTTATATTCTGAGGGCACAGCACTAACTGGTGCTATAACCTTTCCTTTCCTAACGTCACTTAGCAGACGGAGTCACTGAGAGATCCTTCAGTTTAAATGAACGGCTTGCACTGGAAGGGCCACAGTCTAGGCTACTTGCAGGGTTTTCACTGCTGATGGCCTGGAAAAAGTGGGGGAAGAAGAGGTTGGCAGTGAGATTTCATGGATGTGCAGCCAGTACCCTATGCCAGCAAAATTACAAGGCTGACATCCTGGAGCTAGATAGGGCAAAGCTGTTCGTAACAAACAATTTAATTGATGAATGTAGCAAAATCCCCACAAGAAGGCTTCGACTTTTACTAATCCGTTCATTGCGTGAAATCATTTGGCAAATGGTTTATGCAAACATGTCAGCCTAGGGGTTACTCCTCAGCCTCCAGTACTCACTATCCAAAATTCACCGGCTTGTGCTGTGCAATAGTCACACACTATTCTCGCTGTTTTCTGATGGGATGGCTCCCAGGTCACTGACTGCTCTCAGGGTAGCTGTGCTGATACTTGTGTTAATACTCACCTGTGCAAGAATTCGTGGCACTTTCCCTTCCTGCTGCAAAGAGCCCGTGAATACAAACTTGCTTGCACAAATGTTTGTGGGAAGTGGGAAGAGAGACTGCAAATTCTGCCAAAGCCAACAAGTGGCTTTCATCGGAAGGTATGGTCCCAGACGCTGGGTTGGCAGTATTTGGCCAGCTCTGCTTGCAGCAGTTGCTGCCGAGGCTGGGGCAGAAGGGAGGTGGAACAGACAGAGGGAGAGGAAGGTCATTCATCATAATTAACCATTCTTCAGTGAGCAAAATCCATCTCTTGTTGTGTCCAAAGAGGCCCATCCCAACCTGTTTGGCTTAATGATTCTCAAATGGCTCGTTTTCTCCTATTTTGTAGCAGGAATAAAGCCCTTATCCTCCTTTTGCCACAAGTTCCATTTTACATCCTTGATAACTCAACATTAGACTTTATAACAGTCAATTGAGAAAGCCCTGCGGGAGTCTTTGATATAAATGCCTTCAAGATGTAGGGCTTATAAACTGAGATAACAAAACTGTCTTTTTCCTTCCTGTCCCAGGCCTGCTGTCTTAGCACTGATGTTTGTAATTCACTGCCTCGGCCTGGGTCTGTCTTCGTCTATACACAGATTGCTGTCTGTCTGTCTTGCCTAGCCAGTAGCCATGTGTTTGTAACCGGGGGTAAATTTTCAAAAGCACCTAATGGGATTTAAGTGCTAAAGTCCCACTGACTTTCAATTAAACAGAGCCTAAGTGGCTAAGTCACTTTTGAAAATGGGACTTAGGTGCTTTTGAAAATGTTGCCCCTGGATAAGGAATTTTCCTATCTTTTCCTGCCTACCCTCCCTGACTGTTACCTCTTTGTTCCATCTGGCCTCTGCCTCTGTCCGTGTGTTTCCAGGACTTTGTTTGTCTGTCCCTAGGACTGCTGACTGTATAACCTTCTGTCAGGGTTTGTCTACACTACAGCGGCACAGCTGCTGGGCTGCAGCTATGGACCTGTAGCGCTAGTCTAGACCCTTGCTCCGGCAACGGAAAGGCTTTCTTCGTCCCTGTAGTAAATCCACTCCCTCAAGAGGCGGTAGCTATGCTGGTGTCTATAATGGGGCCTAGTCAGCTTAACTACGTCTCTGAGGGACGTGCATTTGTCACAGCCCTGAGCAACGTAACTAAGTTGACCTATGTTTTAGGTGTAAAGCAGGCCTGTCTCCAGGGCTGTCGATGCAACTACCTTTCACCAGTGCTACATTTATTGCAAAGAATAAAAAAGTGGAGTTTGGTAAAATAAGGTAGTTGCCGTAAACCTGGCTCGGCTGGAAATGGAGGCTCTAAGCAAAGCTTATTCCCAAAGTTGTTATTCTTTTCGGTCTCAACAACCCATTTAAGTAATGTTTAAACTCATTTTTTAATTCCATCCTTGCTCTAATTCGCCTGTCTTCCCAAGAAATAATGCAAAAAAATCTTTTTCTCCAGCTGTGCATTTTCCGATACAAATTTGTTTCCATTAAATTGTTCCCTTTTGTCCTCTTAAAAAGCATATTTTAAATAACAGTGCGAAAAAAATTACACCCTGCAAAAAAAGAGTACTTCACTCTGCGCCTTTATACAACAGTTATCTCTCTCAATGGATGGATGAAAACCTTTTAAATGGTCTTGAGGTGGAGACAAGAAATACAAATATTTCTAAAGCCAGATATTTCAACAGCCAACACATGGCAAAGACTAATCTTAGAAAACTAAATTATAGAGGTGGTGTGAACCTAATGTTCTCTTTCTAATTTGTAAAAATACACCGTTTTGTGCAAGTTGGGGTGAAGGCAGATAACTGCACTTCGGTTTTGGAAAAGTCATTTTTCCGTAATCCCTAAATTCAATGAAAGAATGTAAATCCAATCTTAAAAAAAGCCCACCCCACTTTCTCCCCAAAAACCACATTCTAGATAGAAGGGTCATAATTCATGAGTCAAGATGTATCCCCCGCTACTGCACAGCAGAGCTGTTTGAATAGTGTGTGTGTGAGAGAGGGGAGGAAAATGAAGGAGTATTTCAAACATTCACTTTGATCTGTCCATTTTCTAGCTGCTTCGTACTCAGCGAATACACGTGCTTGACCACAAACTAAGGTATGTATTGTAGGGCATGTGCAGCTACCTATTAACCAACTGGAATGACCAGTTTGGAAGCTTGCAGGCTGGCCACCTTCCTGTATAATGCTTATGCTGCTGCTTCTTCACTTGTGATTTCCGTTAAGTGCAGTTGAATACCAAAGAGAATTGCAAATAACAAAGGCAAAATTTGCCGAATGAGTTTCTCGACTGCTATTTCAACTAGTTGCATCTCATAGGAAGGCGGGGGAGTCTGCAGTCCTGCAGTGTTTCCCTAAACTCACCAAAGACAATAATTCTGAGATCTTCACCACTCTTTTGTTAACTATAGGGAGGGCTGACTTTGTAAAAGTGGCCACTGTACCTGGCCTTCAATTGAAGATTGGCTCAGAGTTTGAATTTTGAACACTGTCAAACTTGTGGGGATTGAGGGCTGAGGTTCGGGCCATCTCTGATACCCTGTGGATGTGGTTCCCTTGGCGAGCGCACACAGATGCAGCGACGATGAGGGTGGGTTAGAGGGTAGCATACAGCATGCTTTTGAAAGTGCTTTGTTTAATTCTCCTTGAGATTCCCACTAGATGCCACCCAGTTTTCAGCCAATGTAGCCAAGTACATGGGTTACAGTGCTATTCTCACCATGACACTTTCCACTCCTAGCAGGCCCAAGAAGAGTGCACAGCTAATCATCTCACCCTTTCATTGCTTTCCTGTGGATGTGAGCATGATCCATAGTTAGATAGCACACAGAGAAGAGGCCTTCTGGGAACAATCCCAGGCTCTAAGGGTTTTCAGAAAGGAATGGGAGAGAAACATATCCGGGTTGCTGCCTGCATCTGTGCCAGGTTGCAAACTGGCCCAAGGTTTCTCTTTTGGAATCTAAAGCTATAAAATCACCCTCATACATCATTTCCACGCTCTGTTTCCATGTACCTGACCTCTACCAAGAATGGATTTGATCTTTCTGGTTTGTTATATCTGCATGATCCCCTTACACTGCTTTTCCTTATTCCCCAGCTGTCCCACATCTGCCTGTTCATTGCAGTTCACTCCTTTCTCCTTTGGTGTGATTGAAAAAGTCTCCTCTTACCTTTGTGCCTGTGTCTCACTGCTGGTTTCTGACATCAGAGAACTGCGGCTCAGTGGATTTTTCCCGATTGATGTCATGAATGTTGCCTAATCATCATGTGCATATGTTGACCGGCACAGGGGACTCAACATTAGGGATCCTTGAGGATGGGTCACCAAGCCCAATATTTGAACTGGAGGAAAAAAAATATGAGAGGGAGATACATCAGGGACATACAGGAGTGCCAATGAAAGCAATGGATCAGTCACCGCAGAGAGATCAGAGCTATCAAACAGTGGATCAGACACAATGGCAAAGACATCTGACATGAAACAATATAAGACAGAGGGGACATCAATTAGCAACAAGATCAGCTGTTGGACCCAGTCAATTTAACAGGAAAGCAAGCCAGCCCATAGAGGAGGAAGAAATCGAAAGAGACCTTCGGAGCTAAAAGGAGACCTAGGACAGACATAAAAACAGGAAATATTTCAGAAAGAAAAACAAATTCTGTGCAGGATTTAGGGAAACAGGGCAGTGAATTAAACATCAGAGCAACGGATAGACCTGATGCAGATCAACAGAGAGATCAACAGACATAGAACAAATATCAGAGAGATGGACAACCTGAGACAGGCAGCGAGAGACAGACAGATCTGGGACAAGTACTGGGCCATATCCAGTGATGTCAGAAGCATGCTAGCTACAAGCATGTTTAAATACAGTTGTTGCTCACAGGGTTCTGGCACAGTTCCTCTGACCTGTCTGGATGGTGATTTTTTCTGTGAATTCCGCCTGCCAAACCATGCCATTGACCAGATAGTCTGCAGTATGATTTTATTGTATACAGCCATAAAATCCACATCCATACTTGTCAGAGAAATTGGGCTAGAACCCCATTAGAAACAACTGTGTTTTAAACATGGTTTCAACTAGCACATTCCTGATCCCATTGTGGACAGGGCTTTAGAGAGATAACATACCTCCCCTCCTCCCGAAAGAGAAAAGACAAAAGAAAGGCATCTGTTAGATGGATGGACCTGTGACAGAGATCAGGGTCATGGGACAGAGGCTGGAAGACACTAGAGACTTGTGAAAGACTAAGGGCTAACATTACAGAGCAGGAGCAGGCCAGTGACATATACCAGGCAAACTGCAAGTCATCCGAACAATGGAGAACACAGCTGGATAATCAATCAGAAAGACAAGGTTGAGAGGTATCAGGAAAAGCAACAGATACTTGGAGGTCAGTTATGAAGTCTAATATTGAAACTGGAAATAGAAGGACAATAACTCAAAAGCAACGACTGCTTTTTAACAGTGGAACCAATATTGGAGAGGCGAGGCAGGTATTGGAATGCAGGAGCAGTGTTTGGAGTGTAGCAAATGTCAGTGCGGAAAATCATAGACGAGATGAGAACGACTCTGGAATAATGAATCTAGTATCTGAGAGACAGATACACCTTATGTGGAAAAAAAGCTGAACCAGAGAAACTTTAAACAGTGGCTCCCTTTTGGAAATAGCCCATAAAAATGAGATGGGGGAATTCCGGGTTAATTACCTCTCAGGGATTCCATACCAAGTTTGCTAAGGAGAGAGGGACAAAGATTTGCAGGCCTTGCACATTCCACCAGGATCTGAAAGTAAAGCTGGGTATTTTCCAGCTCGTGCTTCATCATAAGTAACCTTGACTCAAGAGAGGCCTAATCTACGTGTAATTAAGGTGTGATGAAAGTGCATACCTCTATATACTTCAAAATCTAGATTCTGCAAGTGGAATTCAGTAAATAATTCTGTTGAAGAAGTGTAAGCCAGAATAGGATTTATTTCCAGCTCGCTCTCCCACAACGGGATGGGCGCAACAGAGACGATAGGAGTTCAAGGTAGTACAATTTATTACTGGTACTAACCTAAGCAGAATACACTCAGGGAGCAGATCTGTTGAGCACAAAGTCATTGGTATGGTCACTATACGGAACTTAACTGAATTTTACAAAGACATCGCATAGTCTTTTAAGAATGGTTAGATCTTAGCAATTGGAGCTGAATGAACAATTCATAATGAATATCTATGTCAGTTTTTCAATCTTTTTCAATCCACGGGATGTTCACACATAGACTGCAAAGTCCTCATATTTATTTATTATTAGAACTAATTTGCAATTTTCCCCCTATGCAAATATCGCTCTAGCAGTTCATTGGAAATATTTTTTATTTGAAATTCATGCCCTGTTCATTAGTTACATAACCCAGGTGGTACTGTTTCTGTTCCCCAGTCAGATGATTTATGAAATGGAATGGCACAGCACTGTGAATTTCAAATCTGGCAATCAACTATCCAATTTGAAATTTGCTTTTGGCGAGTCACATTTGTTTTTCCGGCATAGCAGTGCTATTGGACCATGTGTGGAAGGCAAACATGAGGAGGCCATAAGTGTGACTGAAATTAAATTCATTTTCAAATTTGAATGAACATCCACAGATCATTGCCCACCTCCTCCCCCACGCCATGATTTGCTTAGCCCTGTCACTGACATGGCAAAAATGGGCAGTGAAACAAGGGGCTTGGCATCATAACAGTGGATTAAACTAAAATGACAGGCATTTTAACTGTGCGAGCCATGCCTTCTTCCCAAGAGTCACCCAGAGAGGGGCTCTTGCTGGGGTGATGCTGGAGGTCTGGTTGGGCATGGCCCCTTCTGGCCTTAAACACTTCATAGCTCTATGGGATCATCTAGGTCCAAGTTCACCCCAGAGGCTATCACACATAGCACCTGCTGCAGGGCCGCTGCGGTAACTCCACCCACCCTCACTGGGACATGAGGCACCAGGCTGGCCCAGGGAAGTGTGGTTTACCTCTCACTGCACCAGCTTCAGGGATCTGCCCCACCGTCCAGGAATACAGCAATGTCAGATTCAACCAATGGTGTCCTGCCTTGGGCATTGGTGTATGCCAGATTCTTCAGAGGAAGGTGAACTCCCACCCCCTATCTAATGCACCTGACCCCTTGCACAATGCTGTACCCTGGGCAGCGAGGACTTCCTGCCTGACTGCTGACAGAGACCAGAACAATGGGTTGTAGAATGGAATGAGATACAAGGCATAAGGCAGAAATAAGAAAGCCAGAGGGTGAGGGAAGCACCAGGGCAATACATCAGGCAGTTGAGGCAGAGCACATAGGAGATCGATGGGACAGACATTAGAGTAAGCGGGCTGGCAGCAAAGAGACAGGATCCTTTCCATTCCTCTCTCTATCTGGACAGTTGTAAAGAATGTTTTTTTCATTTAATAACACCTTCTTGTTTTTAAATGATCCACCAAGCTCCTGGAGTTCCCCCGGCATTAGCGATGTATTTGTGAAGGGAAATGCTGGTGCTGAAGATTGACTCCTAGCAGGATTTTATGAAAGCCTCTTCAGGCTCCTAGTGATTTGCAGCTGCGGAAAACAAACACAGACTGATACAAACACAGAGAGAGGCAGAAAGAGCGGTTCTCTCTCACACACATACCCACACCCACACACACCCCAACCAATTCATCAGACCAAGTGAACTCGAAGGGCTCGTCAAACTCTGCATGGATTCAAGTCTTTTAAAAAAGTCTTTAGATGAATAATACTCCGTGATACTGAGAGAACCAGACTAATGTTGTGACTCTCCAGTTTTAGCCTGGGGAGGATGGGAGCCGTTGCCCTTAGTATGTTAGTGGGAGAGGGCTGAGGGAGAGAAGGCCGACCTAATTGTTCTCGCTCTTTCAAGGTGACCTGAAAAAAGGAAAAAAGATAGGCGTGTCCTTTTTTATTCCTGCCTGTGTGATGTATAAAGAAGGCCCAAAGGGTTTCTTTTTCCTTCTTCTCTACAGGGTTTTCCCCCTGCTTGTTTTCTTCGATTAGAAAGTCAGCCCTTCTCTGCCTTGGAAACTCTCAGGCTGTTTTGCTACTAGCATTTTTGATAATATCTCCCACTGCTGCATCACCAGCAATGCAGCTCCACCACTGGGAGCTGACTCGGCAGCTGCAAAGCCAGTGGCTGGTGCACACTAGTGCTTTCAGCGCGGAGCTGTGTGGTGATTGTGCAATGGTGGGAGACTTTCAGGAAAACCCTAGTGTGAACACGAGCGATGGAAGCTGGATAATTAGTGAAATGATACCCTCGTGAGAGTGGAGGGAGAGCTCAGCTGCTGAGAGGCTGCTGAAAACAATCTGTTGCTTGTTTTTGTTAAAATCTATTTCTCTTCAATGCCTAATTAACAACGGAAATGATGTCTTTGGGAAAGATTGAACACTCCAAAGCTTTTCAGCGAGGTCTGAGAGCTCCCAATATGCGTGCTCTCAGACATCCAGAAAGACCAGGGAAGACCATCCTTGACATTTCTGAGGTGAAAAACTGCAGACAAGAACCTAACTTCCCAATCCTCCATCCCATTCCTAAATGTTCACACGCACACACACACTAGGGTGACCAGATGTCCTGATTTTATAGCCCTGATATTTGGGGCTTTGTCTTGTATAGGCACTTATTACCCTCCACCCCCGTCCCGATTTGCTGTCTGGTCACCCTAATGCACACACATACTCTCCCCTTCCAAGCCTTCTTTAGCCATTAGAAAGAAGCCAAAAAGAGCATGCACCCAATTTTTCAAAACCTCTTAGCAGGTCCCTATGAATGCCGTTAGCGGACTGGTCTGGAATGAGCCCAGACTTCAGTCCCAAGAAGGGCTCACCCTGTCTTCTTTTCTACCTTGTTTATCTCTGGAGGGGCCGGGACAGTGTAAATGGATGGAAGTGCAAGCCTCATTCTGGAACACTTCAGTTCAGCAGCAGGAAGAGCCACTTCAATCATCAATTGCCTCTCAATGTGTATGAATTATACATGCCCCAAAGGCTCACTACGCTGCCACCATCTCTCTCTCTTTTTAGCCTTACTGGGAGGAGAACTGAGCCCCTAGTTCCTTCCTGGACGCCTGCCTCTCTCAGCTGCTGCCCTAGGTCTCCTCCAAAGAACGCAGGAATTGCTTACATGCTGGCTGGCTATTGCGCACGCAGTGAGCCACGAGGCCGACTCCAAACCATTTAAAAGCACAGCAGGAATTTTAATTATGCCCATGCAGTGGGCCCTGATCATTAATTATACCATTGAGGTGTAGTAACTGGCTTGCGGGTGATAAGAGCCCTGTGACATCCTCCCTCTTG